AGGACCAGTTTGATTGGAAGGGGGGCCGTGAGCAACTCCGATCTGGGGTACAAGGAAAGGCTCTCGAGAGTTGCCTATACGCCGAACAAGTTGAGCAAGTGGTTCATACTCCGCATCCTCTAACTTCTTCACTTGAAGTTCTGCGGTAAAGAAACCTGCTTTGAACCAATCGTGCATCTCGAGTCCAGACCACGGCCCTTGGGTGTTGCCTTGGGGGTCGCGATAGATCCAGCGCATGCGATCTGGCATCACCATTTGTCGCTGTTGCGATGTTGGAAGCTGGGTGTTTGATGAACTCGCACTGGAATGGCTTTGACCAGGCTGGGAAGTGCCGTCCGCAGAGGATTGGGAAGGTGGAATTGAACTTTGTGCGGTGGTGGATGGTGCAGGGGGCTGGGAAGATGGGACCGAAATGGGTTGACTTCCCGGGCCTGGTTTATCGCCGGATAAAAAGGCCTCTCTTCCAAGGTCAATGCCACCAAGGGGAGAGAAGAGACCGCCAGAACGAGTAGCTTGGTCAGTGTCTCTCCTCGTAATGCCAGTGTCAAAGGGGCTGGTACTGGAAACATTCCTGTTATCACCCTGCTGCCTCATCGAACTTTCAATTCCAGTGGAATCCGGGCGTGCTTGTTCACCACGCATTTGGTCCTGCATTGCGGGAGGAAATAGAGATCCCATTTTACTTGTGCGACTAGCACTAGGAAGGCTAGTATGTGATCCAAAAAAGCCACCTCCACCAAGAGTCGCCAGGCTAGGGGACTGCAAATCTGCCATTGATCCAAAAATAGGATCGCCGAATCCGGACCCAAAGCCAGTTCGCTCCCGGGTGGGAGTACCAGAAGCTGCGCTAGTAGGCCAGCCGCCAGCAGACCCGAGTGATGACATGCCACCTAGACCGGTCAAATTTGGGAAACCCCGGCCTGCACCGACGCTCGAGGTTTGGCTACGATCACCCGCTGATGCGTCTACCGTCGACCCACCTCGACGGATAGAACCAAACCCACTCATCCCAGGATCTTCAGGGATGTCACTCAGGCCTGGCAGATGGGCATGTTGGATATCAGAACCGTCTGTGTCGATGTCGTCAGTATCGGCCCTCTCGCCATGTGGACTTTGGTAGGGGTTCGTATTGGTTGGGCTCATTGGCTCGTGGGCATGGTGATTGGGAGTCTGAGCTGGTTGGCTTTGCTGGTTTACGATGTCTCGGAAAGTGGGTCCACTCGATGCCATTCCGAAGGAGAGGCCAAACTGATCGATCCCTGGCGCAGAAGTTGAAGTCGCTGGAGCATCAAGGTCCTGGCCACCAAGCGCCGCACTTCCGCTCCGTGGTTCATCACCAAATGGGTTAGTCTCACTGCGAGCCGGACGTGTCTTTATGCCTTCTCCCCACGGTAGTTGCTGCTGTTGTGGTGGTGGCGGACTCGAATCCTCAACTTCAGGGAGGCGATCCAGGGCAGATAAAGACGATTTCTCTTTAATACTCGATCCAATATCTTCTGAGCTATCCTTAGACAACAGACCCTTGAACCGACTTTCCCCCCGCAGGCTACCGAAGCCGGACTTTTTGTCACTAGCTCCAGCACTGCCGCTCATCGGCCCCAGGGAAAAGTTGCCAAATGCGCCCATTGGCGAAAATGCTGAACCGTGGGATGAGGATGGCCATGGGGAAGTTGAGGCATTTGAACTTGTGCCGATAGGGCCCGTGGTGCTACGCTTCAAGGTGCCAAACGGAGAGCTTATACCAAGGTCAGCATCGCGACCACTGTTTTCCTTATCCCTCTCGTCTAATTTTGCTTCTGCTTCTCGGAAATCGGTCTTTCGGCGAAGCAGCGAGGGTGGTGGGGTTGATATAGTTATATCGTCCCGGAAGAAACGAGAAGTACCCGTGGGGGACATGGGATTTCCAGAAGAATCTCCAGTGCCACGGCGTCGCGGGACAGTTCGCGCAGATCCAGGAGATGACGTGTTGAAGGATCCAAGATGGGACTGGGAATGGGACACGGATCCCTTACGGGCGATATTGACGGCACCGGAGGCATCCTTTGATCCGCTCTGAGGAGGGGGTTTCAGCGGGGAGTTGACAGAGCCAGAAAATAACTAGCAAAGAAAATTCTAGTGAGCATTTGTACAGGCATTCGATCACCGGGTTACAACATACATCTTTTTCTTCATCGTTCATTTCAGTCAATGCCAAGGGCTGAACCTGTCCGCTATGATCCCAGCAAACCTCAGGACCAGTGGTTCCGTCATTCATGTCCTCCCGTTTAGTCCAACTACCATTAACGGACGTGGGGATTTCATCGCGGGGATTCCAGTCGGCCATAAAATAATCGGATATATGTTTCCCCCAGCTCCCCGGGTCCTGTTGACTCTTGTAGAGATTTAGAAGTTGGTCCTTGGAGTACCTGCTATCATTGGGGTTGCTACGCGGGGAGCTGGGCTGATAATTAGAACTAAGGTGGGGGGGAATATAGGCTGCAACGGGAGGGGTAGAGGTAGAGGACGTGGTTTGCGCGGTCTCTCGGGTGTGAGAATTGTTAGTTGCAAGGGACGGACGGCGGAAGGTTTGGGTAGCTCCGTTCATACGGGTGCGAGACCTAGCACGAAAAAAAAAAAAAGAAAAAATATATGAAATTAGCTCCCTTGTCCCCACGACAAGACACACAAACTAGTAGACACGATGGGTGATAATCTATGATGCCAGCTCCTCGAGTAAAAGAGAGAGGGACAACTAGGTGCCAGAATAACAGCTAGGGATCAAACAAATAGAGAAGGAAAAAGCAATGAAAAGGGCAATGTTTTACCATTCCCCACCGCCGATTCCGTCTTTTCTTAAACCAGAATCATGGGCGTTACCAGCTGCCGCAGAGGCAAAACTCGATGGAAGAGGTGAAGGCATGATGTACTAGCTAACTCTGGGATATTGGTTATCCACAGACGTCTACAGAAGACGTGTAGACAGCAATGGAAAATTTGGGATTTTAGAGGTGTGTGTGTCGCAGTTACCGGCGAAGAAAAAATTAAAAAAATAAAGCAAGCTGTCAGACGACGAGCACGGAAGGTAAAGAGAAGTTAAAAACGATGGTTCAAGATGTAAGAAGAAGAAGAGCTTGCTGGAGGTAATACGCGGCGTAGCTTCGTGTGTACAAGGCGCTGGAGATGAAGACGGGTGGTTTGGGACGCGGGCGGAAATCGAGCAGAGTGGACGTTGGAAGTTCTTCGTTTCGGGCGATGAGTGAGGCGGTGGTGGTGGAGAGGGAGAAAAAAAGGGCCGGTCAGGCCAATCGCAGGCGGCGCGTGGCAGTATTGCCGAACCTAACTACAGCCACGCCAATTCTGCCCTGCGTAAAAATTCTAAAGGCTAGGAAGCGTTAGTTAAATAACTTAACCCAACCATTATTATTAAACCCCATATTTACATACTACGTCGACGAACTTACCACTACAGAGTTGCTAAAAGTTAACTACTGCTTACGGATTGCAACGCTCTTGACTTCAACTGTGCAGAGGATTTATGCTAACAGGCGAAATGAGGAATATACCAGGATAATGCCTCCTCTTTTGACTTGAAATAAATAAGCAGGAAAATCCTTCCGCACAGCACAGATTACTAACTATCCCCATTACATAGTTGCAAACATGAAAAACATTCGAGAAAGTCGTGCCAAAGAAACGAAATGAAATGAAATGAAATGAGACGAATGCAATCTATCCGGCTGGTTCATGGACAGAAGAGCCAGCATTTCCAAGCACCAAGGACTGCAGCTTTCAGGAATTCAACATTCCAGGCCCTTGAGCTTCGGGCGTAGAATGAGAGGGAGCATGTTTTTTTCCATACCTCTTATTACTCGCAACCTTTTCGGGTTTTCTGCTCCATTCCAAGGACAGCATCTCCAAGGCTGCCCATTCTAGGCATTTGAATATCTCGCTTCGAAATTGTCTCTTGAACCTTGTTGGGAGTAGGATATCAGGGGTAGTGCGTGGTATGCCGTGTTGCCACGCACCCGCCATCCAAATATTTCTGGCTAATATCAACATCCTCCAGGAGAAATTCATCTCCTCTTCTATGTTTTGCTAGGTACTCCGGCTCTGTATACTGAAAATTAGATGACTACCCCCACCTGTATAGCTGCGAAGGACTGCTATTTTTCAAACTGCCTGTCAGACCATCTCAAGGTTGTTAAACAGTTTTGTTGCGTGGCCCAATTACTCTATAGTCAGTCCCACGCACCCATCCCCCTTGCCTACTCTAACTGTAGATAGACACAGACTCCCGGGTGATATAGGTAGTTATCCCTCCAGAAGGACGATACAGCCTCAATGCCTCCCGCTAAACATGGTCAAACATCATCATCGCAAACCTTCGTGATGTTGCATCGAATCAGCAGCATGTTTGCCTGGTTTCCTGAGCAGCTCCCTAGCTATCCCGTATAAAAAACATAGCTATCTGTTGGCATGTTTGCCAATGCTCAACACATATTCCTTTCGATATACTCTCAATATTCTACTATGCTCCATGTTTCCCAATCTTTCTCAGGCTCGGTGTCGAGAAAATGGCGGCAGACAGTTACATGGTATTAAGCAAACACTGTTATGTTTAGCTGTTACTTGAAGGCAAATGTCTCAATGGGCTATATATGCTTATAGCTCCCATCTACGCCCTTTCTTGTATGAATTTTCTGATTTGTTTTTCTTTATGCATCCTCATTGTTCAACAATGCCTGCCGTTGCTCCCTAAAACCTCCGACTGTGAATTTAGTCTGTCATCGTGCTGAAAATAACACACCATGCCCTTCCGTTTCGAGCGTGAACACGAAAGACAGTATGGTCGGTTTTCACTACGTCGTCCAAATCCAGCCGATAGGGCGTCTCAATCTAGACATTCTAATCCATCGACTACTAGTCCCACCCGGGACAACGATTCGAGTTGGTTTATCACCGAAGTTGAATCTGATGAATGTGAAACTCATCAAGAAGAACACTTTTCTTGGGTCCTGTCTGCGAGATGCAGTCAGGAGCGCTTCTCCTTTGATTCGCTCACAGAGGATCTTCCAGATTCGAGTTCCTGCACTTGTTTGATATGCTCCCCCATTCGACGCCCAAATTCAGGAAATCATATACGGGGAGACGAATGCATTCAAAACCCACAAGCTCATGATCGTGATCCTCATGGTGGCTCCGTCGTCGATGCCGACATGAAGATCCCCGCCGAACCATGAACCCACTCCCATCAGACTTCTCTGATAACGATAACCCTGATATCACAACCACCACTGATGACGAAATCCCAGACAGCGACGACGCGATGTTGAACCTCGATAATGCCACTACTAGCCCTTCCCGTAATACCCCGGGCGAAAATACACATCGCAGAAACGATAACTACCTCTCCTTCGTAGATGGTATCTTGCAGCGTGAGTTTGCCGATGAGGCACTGGTCGCTGAATACATGGCTCGGCATCGGCGACAACGAGGACAACCACGACGGGGTCGACAGATGGATCAAAGTCCTAGTGGAAACGGTGATGGTAACTCTCGTGCTAGAGATGGATCTAGCGAGTCTATGAAGAGGCTGTATCAGTATCGAGAATAGGTTTTTTTTTTTTTTTTCCCTTGCTCTGCTTTGCTCTCCTTGTCTTTTTGTCAGATTTCCTCTCGTAATCTTGCTATCTCCAGACCACTAGCCACCTGGCCCTTTTCGAAGTCCGACTGCGTTCAGGTAAAATTGTAAGAAAATAATAAAGAAATGGAAAGCAAAGCCCATTCTCTTGCCTACTTAAATACTTCATCCTATCTCAACATAAGCATCTCACCTATCCGTTTTCATTCTAAACAAGGTATACGAGCTCTGCACGTAACTACTAATCCCTCCACCCTAGGCCAAACAGATTCTCCTTAAAATCTGCACCCTAGTAAAAATTATACGTCTCCATATACTCAACCCGGTGGATAGCAGCAAAAAGAAAACGGAATAACGCACGCAAAGTAGGGGAGGTACAGTAGATAAAGGACCTGAAACTGAAGCCCAGCTTCATTTTATACCATCTAGATTCAACTGCCTCGTCTCCCTGCTAATTCCGTTTGCGATGGGCTTCCGCTAGACGTACGTGGACAGATAATGTATATCTTAGTTTAGGGCACCACAGCTGTATCGGGTCCGCGTCACCGCATAAGAACGTGCTCAGGAAACATCAAAATATTTTCATTCTCTGGATGCAAACGGGCTCCCCCCTCCCTCAACGCGTTGGAAACCGCACACTGTACCTCGTGCCCACATACATGTTAACCATGTCCGGGGGGTGAAATGTCGATAGCAGGAGGCAACTGGGATTCATTGCCTAGGTCTCGAGTGTGTCTACTGCGCAGAGGGAAAAATGGAAGTATGTACGAGAGGGGTTAGTTATGGGAATGTCTGACACTAAATATAACTTTCACTCCTTATCCTCAGATAACTAGAACACCTCTCATCTTTAGCAAGAGTTAAATGACGCGGTATGATGATTTAAACCGGCGGTTCAGGCGTCAATGTCGCTGAGATCCAGCCGCGACAGAGCGAGCATATTGGAGTATTTAGATAACAGATATTTAATGCTTCCCCTGTCCTAGCCTGAACTAGTTACCCTTCTAGGGCATTTGTTGACAACATTGAACCTTCCTGCAGAACATGCACAAAAAGCAAAAATAACCATCGCCATCCCGTTTGCCTAAAATATCCCCATGTCAAAATAAACTTTCGACTTCCAACTCGCAGCATTTGCTGATGACAAATCCATCTGCCCGACCTTCCTATGTTACGTATGTGATGTTATGTTATGTTGGCGGCAAATCGGCAGCATCGATGCACCGCAGCCCGGGGATAAAAGGCGGAGTTGAAAGCCGCCGGCCTCAAATACCTGCCTCACATGTTACTCTAACTTCGTATTTGATATTTAGATGACAGCCCGAGGATTTTTGGTCGCTGCAACCACCATCCTCATATACTGTTCACTTACCCCAGTCTTCCAATTCCGCAATCTTGTGATACATACTGCAGCTTCATCAAGACACTTTGCTGTGAAATATTCAGTCCATTAAACTCAATTGCATAATCGCCGTATCCCTCAGTTCCTCTTCCACCGCTGCAGACTCGAATACTCCTCCCAACCCCTACAAAAAAGACACACTAAAAAGAAAAGAAAAGAAAAGAAAACACCAATCAAAATGTCCGCGATCAAGGAACCCGGCGTCCTCGGCCCCGTCATCGCCCTCAATCTCTGGACCTTCGTCATGGAAGGCTGGATGTACGCCAAACGCATCCCAGCCATCGCCAAATACAAAATCGCCATGGACCCGAACGCGCCCAAGGAGCAATTCTCCGCCAAATTTCCGCCCTCCGTCCGCTGGGTCGCGGACAACTACAACCACCTCATGGAGCAGCCGACGCAGTTCTACGCCGTCACCCTGGCGATTGCGTTCATGCATGAGCGCAAGGGGAGCAAGATGGACGTCGCCCTGGCGTGGTCTTATGTCGGGCTACGGGTTATTCATAGTTTGGTGCAGGTGTCGAAGAACAATATCACAACGCGGTTCCTGGTCTTTCTTTCGTCGTCGTTTGTGCTGCTGGGGCTGACTGCCAATGCGGCGAAGCTGGTGTTTTAAAATTTCTGAGCGGGTCTGGGCTGTGGAAATTGTATGTTTTTTTTGTGCGAAATTGATATATTTATGTATACAAAGGATAGAGGTAGTTAAATGACAACCAATCACTACAGAGACCTGTTGAGACATGATCTGGTTGTCACAAAAGTGTACAGTAGTAAATCGTCACAGGGAGCTTTTACTCCAAGCCAATGTTAAGATGAAGGGATGCATGATGCTATTACTGAAATCAGCAGCACTCATCAAAAATCACTAAATCTTTTGGATCCCAACAACAGTTTCAATAAGGCTGAGTTTAAACTGCATTTGAGTTCGAGAGAAAAGTTGATGCCGAACTAGCAAACAAAAGTCACCGGGAAAAGTAAATCCACCAACGTAAGCCTTTGGGATGAACCCATGTAAAACTGAAAGGAGGGCGATTTGCGCATGCGAATGAAACCGCACCTCCTCCAACTCTTCAACCATTGAATTCCAAATCGATCGATGTTGAACAATTGGGGAAAATATGCAGTTGGATTCCCCCTGCATTGTGTCATTGCCGAGGGAGCAGGAATGCCCGGTTAAACTCTCGGGTAAACAAACATCTTAAATACCCCCCCAATTCTGTCGGCAAGACATACATGATCATTGATCGGGGCCAACGCCAGCAAACTTGAAGAATAATGAATATCATTATTAGGTATCAACATAACATCTTGCCTTGAGGGTTGATTTGTACAGACATACGTCTATTCTCCACCCTAATTTACAATACCATACCGCTGTGTCACTGACCCAGTTCTTCCAGGGCAATTGGAATTCGAATCACGAGGAAGGGAATTTAAAATCCTCTTTCGTCCCAAGTAGATAATAGCCCCATTGGATATAATTGATTGCTATATCGAGAAGAAGGACTATCATTCCATCCAAATCTCAACCCCCCTCAAAAACGGCCAATTGACCTTAAAACCAACCATGCAAGCGGTCACCATTGACTTCATCGACGGCAAGCCCGGCAAGCCGGGCCAAGTTTACTACCCCCTCTCACTCAACAAAGTCCCCATCCCAACTCCACAAGGCAGCGAGCTCCTCATAAAGCTGACCGCCGCGGCCCTTAACCACCGAGACCTCTTCATCCGCCAACACCTATACCCAGGCGTAACAGCCGGCGTTCCCCTCCTAGCCGACGGCGTCGGCACCGTCGTCTCCGCAGGCCCAGCCGTAAAGGAGCCACACGCATGGCTCCAAAAGCGCGTGATCCTGAACCCGGGGACCGGGTGGCTGGATTCCGAGGAAGGCCCCGAGTCCCCCACCGGCTACGCGATCATGGGCGGCACGAAACTTAACAGCAGGGGCACCCTGCAGGAATATGTCACCATTGACGTGGGCGAGGTTGAAGAGGCGCCTGCGCACCTGACGGATGTGGAGGCGGCGGCGCTGCCGCTGACGGGTCTGACGGCGTGGCGGGCCCTGGTGACCAAAGCCGGGGCGAAGAATTCGAGTCAGGGCGCTGCGATCCTGATTACGGGGATTGGGGGCGGGGTTGCGCTGATGGCGCTGAGGTTTGCTGTGGCGAGAGGTGTGCATGTGGTTGTGACAAGCTCGAGTGAAGAGAAGTTGAGGCTGGCTGTTGGGCTGGGGGCGAAGGGGGGCGTGAATTATAAGGAGCGGGAGTGGGAGAAGAAGGCGTTGAAATTGTTGCCTGCTGGGAAGAGGAATTATGATGCGATTATTGATGGGGCTGGAGGGGATTCGATTGAGAAAGGGGTGAAGTTGCTCAAGGTACGTGACTGGATGTTATTTTTGTATTTGAATAGATATCTTGATCCCCTGGAGCGCCGTCTGTCTGTTCAATACACTATTTGTCTGGCAAGTTCGCTAATCCACCCATCACAGGCCGGCGGCATCCTCTCCGTATACGGAATGACAGTATCACCCAAAATGCCCTTCACCACGCCCACCTTCCTTAAGAACATCGATGTCAAAGGCTCAACCATGGGCTCCCGGAAAGAGTTCAGTGACATGGTCCGTTTCGTCAACGAGCACAAGATAAAGCCTATTATTTCCCGTGTAGTGCAGGGGATCGATAATATCAAGGCCATTGATGGATTATTCGATGACATGAAGAATGGCACCCAGTTTGGCAAGTTGGTCATTGAGATTGCGAATAGCGGCGATAGTAAGTTGTAACCAATTAAAGATTTACAAAACATTTCTCCTTCAAGAGGGTATATTTCGTTTACTTGATTCATTAATTAGCCCCCTGAATGGCTAGACACGATAGACGGTAAGCCATGAAATTCTTATTTCAATTTCAGCTTCTAAAAATTATTTTTCAATTTCCTAAGTTTGTAGATTTGGAATAGTTATATATTCAGCTAGCTAAATTGGTTATGAACAGTATAAATGCTATGTTAGGCAGTGTGATATTGTGAGAGTAGGGTCGCACTTACAGAGAAGATCGTACGGAAGTGGTCGTTCGTTCCGAAACATCAGTATCATTCAAACACAGGCATAACCGCTCGTTATGGTAATGGAGAATCAAATGCATCCATTCCCTGCAGAGCAGACCAGCCTGCCCGGATACTCAGTCTTATCCCAAGAGGCTGCATGGCATGCATGCTGTAGCCAAACAACGGACTGCCTTTGACTGGGTACTCACACACACTCCAAACCCAGTCCATTGAATCCGCCATCGATGATTGTCCATTTTGTCCCCTTTACAGCCTTAACACACACGAGAGACTGAATAGGCATCGCGGACCGCAGTGACCTGTTTGGCGATAAGAGGCACCAATAATTTCGTGCTAATAGCTGGATAGTCATCGTCCTCATCGTCCTCATCGGTATACTTCATTTGCTGAAGGAGGAAATGAAGGGAGGGGGAAAGCACTTTATATCCAGGAGATAAAACCACCTCCATTTCATGGATTTGTCATTTATCCTTTACGTAACATCATTCCGCAGCGGATGAGAATGTACTTCTATTAATGTACAGAGCTCGCTAAGGAGACGTGGGTATATAGGGAGTTATCTGGAGAGAAGGAGGAGCAGGAAAGCTCACAAATATCACGGGTGTGAAAATATAGAATTGTGCTATTTTAGCGCCTAATATCTATGAGCCTTCCGGCTTAACATATAGCAGTTAGAGGTGATGAATTCCATCCATGCTAGAAAAACGAGCTGTTGTAGCTCCTGCCTGCATAGGGGAGGTAGGAGGCGATACTTTGGCATAACTTTCAGGTAAGGGATTTGGAGCGTATTGTAATAATATCATATATTTGGTATATTTCGCTGATAAAAATGTGAGAGCAGGAGATTTGATTCCCCGTCATGCAAGGGAAAAAAAAGGGGACATTTCACAAGAGTAGTAAGGAAAAGGCGCTTCCCATACAACGGTATGGGATAATCAATTTCATCGCGCTGTCAAAAGAGAAAAAGGTGGAAGATATGAATGGTTTGATTTTGCGCATCATTCATCCATGGAAATTTAATGAAGGTCATGGAAGGTCACTGATTTGAATCGGAAACTGTCCGACGTAGTGTCCGCGTACAATTGTACTGTGCTTGATTTCGAGAAGGAAAGGGAGAGTGTTCGCGAATCTCCTTTGCTTCTAGACCAGCGCAGAAATCGAGTAGTGGCAAAGATTCAAAATGCAGGTCGCCAGGACGAGCAATAATCGAGCCGGGCAGGTTCAATTATTTCCATGACGTTTGCATATGCCAGGTTTAACACGTTTGGAATAGATTTTTCCAGAAGACGGGCTATCAAGCCTTGATCGCCAAAAGAACAAGAACAAAAACTGAAGCAGCTATTATCACATCGTCAGCCCTTTGAGTTCAACCAAGCCGGTATGTAAGCTGCGGAGAAAACCAGCAGACAATCTCCAACCTTAGAGCGTGGTTCTAAGGAAATAAAGACTAGGTATGGATGGCTCTGACTCATTAAGGGCTAGAGACGACAAGGGGTCATACATTGAGGAAGATAGGTATCTCCTCTGGACTGGTAAGAGCCCAATTATGTCAACGACTGTAACCCGGGTTAATAAGAGGTTCCTTGATACCGCACTCTCACTTGGCGCAATCACATATTGCTCATGTTGTACATGTACTGTACAGTACATACAAGTGATTGTAAACCCGCCCTAGTGCCTCTTGGGAAGATGTTAGAAATGTAACCCCGCAATTTGACAGATTTGGAAACAAAATATACTCGCAGGCCGGCCTAGCCCAAAGTAAAATGAAGCTGAGCTCACCGGCCTTCCTTCAGATCTCGCCCGATCTCGTATAACGCCATCTCTCTCACCTATCCGTCTGCATTCACTTCATGACACTAGAGATTGAACAGGGAAATCACGCTTCGAGTCGTTTTAACTTGGGACAAAGTTCGATTCCGCCAGATCGAAGGCCCTGATTGACAAGACAAGGTAGCTAAACCTGCAGCAGTTTGTTTCCTGCTTCTGCCACGTCACAGCAGACCATCTCAACCTTGCCTTAACTACCATAAATCGAGCAATCAATCAATTCCGTCATCACCGATTCGAGCTCTAGCGCTACTGTGCCCTGATGCATCTTCCATGCACGCGCTCATGTCGCCCACGCTGGTGGGGTGGGTTGGTTTGGGATCTGGTGCTATGAATAGAAACATGCCCAGGCGCCAATTTAGCGGCTCTTCTTTGCTCTTTCGCCCAAGCTGCCGGCACTCACCACACAAACAACATGGGGTAGTATTATTCTGACACAATGGGGGATTTTATCCTCTTTCCTTTCTCTATTTCTTCACTCCGTGCTTTAATATCTGTAAATCTTATTGTTGTTTTATGACCTTTTTCTTTTTCTTTTTCTTTTTCTTTTTCTTTCTTTTTGGCTTATTTTCTGTGATACCCGTTGTGGTGAGTCCACAAATTAGAATGCGATAACGAGATGCGCTGCGAGCGGAGTTTGTCTGAGAGTTGTAGGTTCTGTTCAAGCCCTGATTGGCTTACGTTCCATTTTCTATTTCTGTCTCTTCAGCAGACTTTTACTGGAAAAGAACCAATACCCTCGGGACCTCGTGGGGCTCAAACGGTGCTGCAAAACTTCTATAGTGAGACACTGACATGGAACCTGGGCTGCGTAGCTCCCGTCTCAGCCAGGGGGCTCGCGCGTTCCGCACGCCGGCTCTGTCGTCGGCAAAAGCCGAGGAAACCGACGAATACTTCAGCTTTCCCCAGTCTTACTGACTGTGGGCAGGGATGGTTCTGCCTACTGTTGCCATATATTGGCGCATTAAGCTGAGAGCGGCCATGTCTCACGGAGCATTTGATACGCGGAAGGGAGGGTGACCATTTCTTGGGAACTACCGAGTGAGATAAGAGTAGTCTGTTTCTTATTCCTATCTCCGTCAGCTGGCTCACC